ATCGATGGTTCGGATTTTGACACACTAAGGTTGTCAACCATAATTGTCAAGTATGATTGTACAAATATGTTAATTCTTTTTGAATTGCTGGAAAGTGGGCAAGTCGGTATCTGTTGGATCCTTGGTGAAAGATTCTTTAGGCAATTCTAGACGGGATTTCACTTGAAAATATGCAGCATGTGCATACTCTATTGAAAGGAAAATTGAAAGGCTTGGAAATCTTTAGAAAAATACTGTACTTTTGCAAATGTATATGAGTATACCTTGCTTTTCTTCTCTCTTTAGGCTTGCCCTTTCATGTATTAGTCCATGTGAAGATCTGAAGTACATTTTTACTCAAACATTTATATTTGTGTAGCTTTTTTTGGTGGAGAAAACAATTAAGTGAAGTTTAATGATGGATCTTTTACATGGCCGGTTAGTGAAATGGGATTTTGAAAGTTTATAGGTTGGCTCAACGATGTAAGTGTGTCAATACGAGTGATTGTGTCAATCGTGATGCATTTATATTTGTGTAACTTTTTTTGGTGGATAAAACAATTAAGTGAAGTTTAATGATGGATCTTTTACATGGCCGGTTAGTGAAATGGGATTTTGAAAGTTTATAGGTTGGCTCAACGATGTAAGTGTGTCAATACGAGTGATTGTGTCAATCGTGATGCAATAAAGAACGAAGAATATTTTAAGAAAAATGAGAACGTTCACCTCCTCATTCATCATTTTCCTGTGGTTGTTGCATTTTTCGTAGTTACATTTTCTTAGGCAGACAGTCCTTTACTTGAGAAAAAGAAAATAAATAATGTACTTAGAATTTTCCAAAATTTTCCTTTGTTCCCGCTGATTTCCAAATATTTTGTTAAATAGTTATTTTTTCTGTTAGCGCCAATTCATTTTCTTCTCTTCATTTCACGATTTTAGAACCAAAACCAATCAATTCTTACACAATAAATCGATTCAATATTAACATAGAATATTGAAAAAGTAAGAGTTAATTTTTTTTTTCCGAAAATTAGGGATTTCTTAATCTCAATTCAGCCGATCTCCTCAAAAGTTGCCCACTTTTCTTCGAATTTTGCAAGAGAACACCAAAAAAAAAAAATAATAATAATAATAATATGTAACTAAGAACCAACATAGTTCACTTCGATTTTAACTTTTGTTATAATAAAATCAAAAGGTGCGATTAACAACCAAACCAACCAAGTGACGCGTTATTACCGATCCGGTATTTGATCAATACATTAGTAGAAATAATGCAATAAAAAGAATTATTCAGTTAGCTCAAAAAGGTCATAATTTCCAAATGTAATAATGTATAGAGTTTTTGGTCGGCGGATTAAATGTTTCTATTTAGTAATATGCACCGACGAGACGAGTCTGCCGCCTTTTAATACCAGCCAACTTTGGTTTATCTCAAGAAAAATAGGATAGTTTCAACTTTATAGAGTTGAAATATTTTCTATTGGGGAATGATTACAAAATAAAAAGCAGAGATGTAGAAATGGATGATAAGTACAAAGTACGTCTGGTGGACCAAATCAATTCAATCCATTGCTCCTTTTGTCAATTTTGTATATGACGCGTAAGTACAGTGCAAAGAGCAGATTGTATTGTGAGTGATGTTAAAATGGACGATAATGCGTTTGGTCAGAGCTTTCAAGCCATCTAGCTACTGAGATACATTGTAAGATGAACACAATATAATTTAAACGGTTTTTGAACTATTTTGAAATGAAATCGAATTTTTTCAAATCAAACCAATGAATTTCGTCCACTAAACTAAGGAAATCTTTGCGATTTGATTTGGTTTTAAACTACGTATTTCATCTACTAAACTAAGGAAATCTAACTAGTTTTTGCAATCTGATTTGATTTGAAAATAAGGTTTTAACGATATATTTTCTAACTAAAGAAAAAACAAATATTATAGGTCTAAATTTCAGTATAACAGTTATATTCAAATCTTCTAAACATATGCATTACGATATTAATACATTGGGTAAGTCGTACCAAGGGTTCCAAACCTTTCAAAAAGTGCAATGGGATCTCAAAACTTTCATTTTTATCTGCGAGGTTCCAGACTTTTAAATTAATATTAATGTGTAACGCGAGGTCTATTGAATGATTTTACCCAAAAGTTGTTGGTTGACCCATAAGTCATCAATTGACCAATTTTTTTTTATCACTATAAAGAAGAGCAAAAAGATCATTGCAAGTTATTTCATCTAAAACAGTTAAGATGATTAAAAAAATAGAAATAAGAAAATAAGAAAAGGAATAAAAATTGATAAACACTTTTTTTTTTCAAAAAAAATAAAAATAAATAAAATTGTTTGTTTTCCACCACCACCTCCTCCAACACCATCAGTCCACAGCCAACACCCACTTCCCACCCAACCACCCACATCCCCCCTAGCCACCATCGACTCTGCTTTCATTTCGAAACTTATAAGCAAGAATCCTAATATGATTCTACTCCCTCTCTCGAGTGTCAAATAGAAATTATTCTTAGAATTCAATTTTAATATCTCTATTCCGAATAAAAAAAATCTAAGAATCATCAAGTTCTATGATTCTTCGTAGAAATGCTTCAAAGGAATTATATTTTCTCCTGAAACCTATAAAACCTAGGTTGTGTTATTTTGTGTTCAATTAAAAATTTCTTCTCTCAAGTGCCAAATTTCAAACATCAAATCCTTCAATCAATGACCAGTTAATTGAAAACATTAAATGTAAAAAATATAATTAAACTTAAAAAAACCACAAAGAAATAACTATAAAAAATCAAAACATCGTCACAAGTATCAATTACATCAAACCCTAGAAGAATAACTTAGTTCATGATGAAAGAATAAATAAAATTCAAACTCATGATTAATAACATGGAGAAGAAGAGAGAAAAATCATTTTGGAGTTTGATTCAATCTTCTTCTCGTTGTTGCCTTCGCTCTCTTGCTTGATCTCTTGTTTTTGCCTCGTTGAAGGGTAGTTGAAAGTCACCTCAAGAGTTGTATTTATGCCTTCCTCAAGTGCTAGACAAATTGAGGTTGAATTGAACTTTTAATGGACCAAGAAAATAACCTAGTTCTCATTAAGCTAGAGGGCTGCGCCTCCAGCCCCCGGTGCCGCATCTCATTGGTGGTTGGAGCTGAGCGCCAGTTCTCTATAATTTTCTGCCATCTAGTTTTGTTGAGTGACGCTTAGGCGAATGAGGTATTTGTTTTTATCCTTTTGTTCCCTTAATCTTTTCCTTAGTTCATCTTCTTAATCACTCATTAGCCTCTTCAAGCTCAATGCGTCGCCCCTTTTCACCTTAATACCTAATCTATAACACTACACTTAAACACATATGAAAACGTTCTAAAAACTATTATGAACGAATAATTTATCAAGTTTATTCTAAATGCACGAGTTAAACACACTCATCAATTTGCTATGTTAGAACAATTTAGTCCATTTTTTGTGATTCACATATTCATCCCGGATATTCAAATAATCATCAAATTCCACTTCCCCAGGCTACTTAGCTTCTTGCTCATGTACATATATGCAAGGGTCGTTGCACAACTCACAAGAGTTAGTACTTTAAAATCAATATATAGATATTCTATCAAGTTACATGAACAAGAATATCAACAATGTCAACTCAATTCCATGTATGATCCAATGAAGTACTAAATTAAGTCTTGAGATCATGAATAGAAGTCTAGTGCGGTCCAATCTCTAGTAAATTTGTTCATGAATCGTACCATTGTTCCCAAAAAAAAAAAAAAAAAAAAAAAAGCTAAATCGTAAACGGTCGCTACATTTCCGAAAAGTACTTATGGTCCCAAAACGGACACCGTCTTCGAAAGTTATGCTCAATTCTTCGAACGTCGTCAATCTAAATATGCAGCTGCACGTTCCTCAAAAAATGGTCAAAATCCCTCGTACGCACGACGAAGTTGTGAGTTCAATCCAAAAGGGTCGCTACATTTTCGAAAAGTACTTATGCGCCCAAAACGGACACCTTTTGCATAAGTTACGC